AAATTTTTTTTTTTCATCCAACTCTTGTGTTCGTTTTTGCTTCAGCAACTTTTCAATGAAGGAGGCAGGTTCTTTTGGATACATAACACAGGTCCAATTGGATGTTTGCCAAGAAAAAACATGATGAACAAACTCACATCTGAAGACTTGGATTTTGTTGGATGCAGAAAAAATGAGAATGAGATTGCTCAGGAGTTTAACAACCAACTTAAGGACATTGTATTTCAGCTAAGAAAAAACTTCACCAATGCCATCTTCACCTATGTTGATGTCTACTCTGCCAAATATGAACTAATAAAAAATGCAAGGAACCAAGGTGAAGATTTTACTTTTCGGAATGCACTTTGATTTCAACAGAAACTACATTAAAAATATCAAACTTTTTAGAGTAAAGTTTAATAAGTAATTTCATCTTTATATTTATAATTGATTTTTATATTTGCTTTATAGTGAATTGACTTTCTATTTTTGTAAAAAGTTTCGATGTAATTTATTTTTCTAAAAATGTTATTTTCAAAATTTAAGTTTATCATCTGTCAAAATCCGGATCATCTTTTATCGTGAAATCTCTCTAATTTTGACACTAAGTACTTTCTAATTAGAAAATGACAAATTTTGACATGTGATACGCCTAAATTTTGACACAACACTTTCAAACCATAATAATGTCAATTTAACGAAAGAAATCATTTTTTTTACTAAAATATAAAGACCCAATTTAATCTTTAAAAAAATAGAAATTTAATTGAATAAAAGAAAATATAGAAGCCAAAACATTAAAAACTTACATATAGAATAAAATTATTTGGAGTGAATAATGTGTATATATTATTAACCTTATAGTTTGAATTGCATGGTTGTACGAGGTAGGTTTTGTTAATCCAAAGAAGTTGTGCTGTAAGTAGGAGTCTAAGCTATTTTGACTGTGGAAGAAAGAAGATAAAAAATAGAAAAGAAGAATACTAAAAATGTAAAGATCCATCAAAGTACATTAGTTGGGATGGTGTGCACTATTCTGAGGCAGCAAACAAATGGCTTTCCACTCTCATTGTGAATGGCTCTTTCTCCCATCCACTACTTGCTACAGGGATGCTTGCTTCTCAATCTCCAAAACATATATTGGGGTATTACAAGTAAAACATGATTTTCATTTCAAACTTTTCGGTAGTGCTATTCTTTTTTTTTTCTTGTTATTTTTCTTACTAATAATCGAAACTAAGAAAAATATATTAGTGTTTAGATGTAGTTTTTCTTTTGGGCAGGGTAATGAAAAGATAAAAAGAAATTGGGTGGAAAGTAAAATTATTTATATATTAAGACCCAAGTAGAAAATTCTAAGCAAT